GAGATGAGGAAAAGTATTTTTAGTTTTAACATGAAAATTACTTTGCACACGGACTATTCAATACAAGTACTCAATATATTAATGAACAAATCTTTATTTTATTTTATTGAAAATACTTCACTGAAAAATGTAATTTTTTTGTATGTGAAAAGACTTATTATATGAACTGAAAGACTGCCAAATTTGGTGAAGATATACACACTATATTGAAAGTCAAAAGTATTAATTCTATAAAGATTTTAATCGAGTACAAAGAAGTCACGTAGTCGGTCAAATTGACCAAGCCTGTGTTGAGAAAGTTAAATGAAGATAATTTGTATTAGATAAAAATTTCTCATTTTTGAATTAGTATAATAAGAGTGGTTCAAAATACATTGTACCACTACAGGTCAAACTGGATAGCACAAACAGTGTATGCATGTAAACTTTTTGCTTTATAGTAAATGTGTAATTAAATATACAAATAATATATTATTTTACTGCTTTTGTTTTTCGAGCTTCATTTCACAGCACAGTGTCATAGGTATTTTCTCTTGTAAAAGTAATGCATTGATAGATTTTCTCTGATTTATAATTTAAGATGTTTCTTTCCCTCTACAACTAGGTTCTAGTTAGAACTGGTATAAGACATTGAACCAATCATATTTAAAGTTTCTTGGTGTGTCTAAATACAATCTTGCACATTACATTTGTTAATAAATATGAATTAAGATTAAATGTATCTTGTTTGAACAAAAAATGATACATAAATTACTGATTACAGGTAAGACCTTATGATGAATTGTTACCTGGTAAACTTCTAATTTGTACCCAAATGAGAATTGTTCGTAGAGAGGCTACACCAGTGACAAGGGCTCAGAATTTAAGGGATGTCAATTCATTGTCAATGACTCTAGAACATGATTTATACTTGACTTCAAGTGGTGAAAGTATGGTATGTTATATATATAAAACAAATTTCACGGCAATTTATTGTTCTATACCAGTTTTTAGTAAAAAACTGTGCATTGTATGTGTGTGTGTGTTTTTGTTGTTCTATAATTTTTTCATATTATTTATCCTGTAATATTAACATATTTAGCAATATTTTATTAACCTTTGTACATAATGTTACAATAAAGTTTCATTACCAAAAGTGCTGATTACTAGAGTTTATGTTAATTTGAATGTAGTGTTTATTTTAGGATTCAAGGTGCATTCTACCTGAGAAAGAGTGAGTTAATAACATAAATATAATACATACTTGTAAGACTATAGCTCAAACTAACCAAGTCAGATTGTGCCTGTTTTGCTGATTAGATGCAGCATTAATATTTCAAAAGCACAACTGTATTGATAACAAAGAAAGGCTTTAATTACAAATAACTGTTGAAAATAAGAGAGAGAGACTGTGATTACAAGTGTTTTAGGTATGCTGTACTAGGTAAAGTTTTATCATGGCTTCAAGTAGTTGGAAATGCATGAAATGACTCATCTGTATATCATTATTAGATACATTGAAATTCTTTACAACTGTGTAGTATCACATAAAATTTACTTAGCTATAATTTTTTAATTGCTAATAGAAGATTGAATTAGCAAGTTGACAAAGCATTAAATCAGATTAAGTTAAAAATTGAGGTTGAATAAATGACTTTTAAATAGATATTTGTAATTTTATTTTTTATGCCATGTGCAACTTTCTACAGATATATTTCTTGGAAGAACTGGAAGAACAACAAAAAAATGTGCCAGATATTCAGGCTGTATTGAGATTCATGAATGAAACACCAAAAAAACTGTGGAATTCACTCCAGATTGGAGGAATATATTTATTTCCTGAACTTTCTACTTCTCTAAGAGAATTTCAAGCAAATTTTTCAGTTCAGCGACCAATGGAGTCTTATGTGAGTAATCAGATACAGTACAAGTTTTCTCTTGTGGTGAGGTATTAAAGGAAAAAATTTGACAGTGCTCGTTTTCTTTAATGGATAAGCTACGAGAGCAAAGAAAAATTATACAGACAATATTTATATATGAATAAGCTTTAAAAAAAAAAAAAATTTCTAGTGAAGAATTTCTCATGGATAAACTGTTAAGGCTTGGAAAATGTTGCAGTGTATTTTTTCACATGTGGATAAGCTACTTAAATATTGAAATCTTACTATTAAGATTTTTTTACTTATTAATCAGTTTCTTAAGGAAAAATGTTATCCAATCTAATTTTCTCATGAAGAAAGATCTCACAATGTAGGTATTTTTCATATGGACAAGCTACTAAAGCAAGTAAAATTGTGTAACTGCAGATTTTTTTATATAAACTGAAAATATTATGCCATTCTGTAAAGTTAGTAGTATTCTACTTATTTTAATATTTTTATAAAAGTTGTGGAATAAGAGTATATTTAAACATATTACCTTACATACAGAAAAAAACCTTTACTAAGTGAAGTATTTACTGTCTAGTTTAATATTTGTAATAAAGCTTTTTATTAATATTTTGTAATAGAGAATGACAAATATCTTAAGAGTTTGATTTAAAAACTATTTACTATTTTGAACTTGTTTTTGTAGATAATCTTTTATTTTCTTATTAGTTTATCACTGGAGATACTTGGTCTAAGAAAATTGCTTCCCTAGACTACAAAGAACACCAGTTGTTATTGGTACATGGGACCCTTGTGCATCTAGAATTTGTGGATTTAAACACTAAGAAGACAGTCGTAGGTGATTGGAGCTTGCTTTCTAGTGTAAATGTGTCTGGACATGCATATGAAACTGTTTACCTAAACCCAAGGTTACATGAAATCTGTAGGAATGTTGAAATTTTGGGCTGTACTTTCCCAACTCATGCTTGGTTTCCTCACCAATTTTCTACTAAAAACAGAAATGTCTTGAAAAACTGGTTAAAATTTCCTGCATTCTCTGCAGATGATTTTTTCTTAGTTCCTACCGATGAAGATTTACGAGGTATGTATATAAATTTATGCCTACAAAACCTAGTAATAGAATTAAAGACTACTTTTAATATCAGGTTGATTTTGGAGCTAAAATATATGTAGGCTTGCAGGTAAAACAAATATTAGAAGTTATGAAATTTAGCAAATAACTTCTCAAAAGTAAAAAAGTACAGCCAATATTGGAAGTAGAAAGAAGTAGTCTTGTTAGTTTTGGGTTTTCTGCAAAGAAAAATGACACTGTACAGTTGCATGTTTTAAGTATGTTTATCTTGTTTAAAGAGAAAAGTGAATGAATTACATACATGTTATCTGATAGTTCTGAATATATATCATAAATCAGTTTTATTTTACCATTTACAAGTTTTTTTGTCTAATATACTTTTTATAATTATTTTGATAAAATATTAATGTGAAAAATTGAAACTTTAAAATACCTTAAATTATTAAGTTATGTAGCATTTTGATGTTTACTCAAAGTTGTTTATTATACTGAATCAGAAGAACCTTCTTTATTTCAAGCAATGCCTCATTCATGATATTTACAATGATTTTGAAATCAGTTAATGCATGTTGAATAATATTTGAATTGTCTTTAGACCTCGGAATACTGTGTTGCTTTATACTTTCCCCTAGTCTTATTGTTTTGGAACTGATATAAGTACTCTCACATGTTGAGCAACAGAGTTCGTAAATCATACAGGATTATTGAGGAAGAAAATTTTTATCTTTAACTGAGAAAAAATTATCAATCTGAGTGGAAGGTTTAAAAACATTTTAGCTTGATTTTTGGATGATCTTTTTGTATAATGGCATTCAGTTTCTTTATTTGACTCAAGTAAACACTAGTGTACAGTAGAGTTATGAACACTTGCATTTGTGGAACATCAAAATGTAATTGAGAAGGAGTACAAATTTATTTCAATATTCTCTTAATATTACACTTGACAAAACATTTTAGGAAATAATTCATTTTCAAACTAAGCTAAGGAATTCAGTTCTTGTTGGAAAAGCTCAGAAGTGTTGATAATATTTCAAGCACGGTATACAAAATATTTGATCATATCAAGCTATTAACCCTCTTGCAACGGGCATCCTTTTGTGTACATATCACAAGGTTTAAGTGAATTACATTCAAAATTGAATTAATTGTGGCTAGTAATCCAAATTCTAGTAATATATAAGATTTAAGTTCTTAATTTTATAAGGTAATATAAAAAAAAATATCCTCAATTTTCCCTGGTGTGTGAATTCTGAATTTGCTTTCTAGGTATCCCCTCTTCTCTAATTTATTTACTACCCCGCTAAGAAAGTACAAAATTTAAAATAAATTACTCATTACAATGTTGTCATGACTCAGGCAAGGTATAATATTTATAGACTATAATCTTATTTGGTTACAGAGACATAAAATAGAAAATAAGACCCTCTTGCCACATCCACCTGTCACATTTCTCTTTCAGAAATTGCCAATAGTTTTCTTTTACATTTAGTAATATATTTAGTTTCTCTCTTCAGAATCTAAGAAAACCATTTTATTTTTGTAATTTGAATCAAGAATCATTCTCCATTCAAAATAATATAAAACTATTTTCTAAGCTCTTTGCATTTTTCTTACTTTTTTATTTTAACTTGTTTAACTTACATTTTCAATGCCAGTCTCTATTTGTAGTTGTAGCAGGATTTTTGTGCTATTGCACATTCTTATTGCTTTTTCTGTATCTTTACAAATTGAGTAGTGCCAAAATTTCATAGTGTCTTACACATACCAACTGCAGTTATTCTGATTCAAAACTTTATGAAACTTTTTGGCTTTTTGCTTGCTAATTTTTCATTGGCCTTTTGTTTCTGGCAGAATTGGACTCAGATTTTTTCAAAGGTTTTATTCCTAACCAACATAATATCTGAACTCAGAATTGCCCATTTTAGGTTTTCTTTTTTTATTGTTATATGATCTACATGTGCTATAGATATTGGAAACTAGAATACAAACTTCTAGCCTCAAAGCTTCTTGCTTGAATAAAATATAAAAAGCAAGTCAAACTCACATGTCATACATCCTCCTATTTCATTGTATCTTTCAAAATATGTCAAAATTTTCTGACCTTTGCTATTGGATTGTTTATAACCAATAGAAAGAGAATATTATTTTTTACAAGATTCTTTAGAAGACTAGTTCATTTAATCACTTGTAATTAGGTATTTGACTACAACTTCCTTTTTGCAATACTGTTCTTTTTTTTTGCTCCTAGTTAAATTGTAGTTGTTGTGAGATATTTTATTATGTTTTTTTATTCTAAAATACATATCTGGGAGATCCCAGAATTTCTGTTTGAAAAACTAGCTCAGTATGGTTTGCACTAGCAAAGATCACATACTTCAACTATTTTGCTAATGGTTGGTGTTTACAACTCGTGTATTTATTATTTTGATTGGAGGATTAGTACTCAAGTACTAAGTGCAAAAAGTGAAGAACTACATGAAACGAGAAATTTTACATCAAAAGAAGAAAATAGGTACTGTTAATTGTATTTCATATTTTTCATTTCACTGTACTTGGATAATGATTGATTTTGTTATAGTTTGTATTAGGTTAGATAAAATATAGTTTTACCAAAATGATTTTTAATATTCAGGTAGGAGAAATAAAATTAAAGTATTTTTCATTCCTAACATGAAAATTAATTTTGCACTCAGTCTGGTCAGACTGACTCTGTATGTTCACAGACAAATCATTACTTAAAAAACTATTACAAAACCTGATATACACATAGTAAACATTAATTCTGCAAAGAAATAATTGAACCAACAGTTAAAGTACATATTCACTCCACATCTTACAACTTAATTCTTTCTCTCTCTGACTAACCTTACTATAATGGAAGTAGTGTATCTATCTAACTATATATATATGTGTGTGTGTGTTTGACCAAAATAATAAATACAATGTGGAGTCATCTATTGATTAGCACCATAAACAAAAGTTTATAAACAATTTCACATTTTTTCGGTATTCAAGATTCAGTGAATTAGAAAAATAACGGTGGTATGTGCAACAACCATTTTTTTTATAATAAAAGTACTATATTCACAACAAGAACGTGACTTTCACTAGGACTGTATGTTGAGGGCCCTCCTACTCATGTCTCTGGATGTTTTTCCTAGATGTCAGTAGGAGTGGCACCAGCCTCCGCATAAGCCAACTCATAATTCTGGTTCAGATTTGGCACAGAGCTATCCAGTTGGGGGGTGCATGGCCCTTGTCTTTGACCAATGTTGGTTTAGTATATTGTTCGTGGAAGGAGGTCCACTATCACCTCATAATTCCGAACATGAAGTAGTCCCATCTTAGGTCCTTGGTTGAGCACAGGTTGTATGTCCTCTCCATAATTCCAGGGTCAAGTGGAATACTTCTTGCCCACTTGGTTGGGGAGTGAGGATGAATGTTCATAATTCCAGAGTGGATGATCCTGTCATTCCGAGCCTGTGATGTTGCCTTTTGGACTTCTTCTGGTGGAGGAAAAAGTTTGTTCACTTCAGTGTTGTTTACTTTCTCTTCATGATTCAGGTGGTGTGAAACGCATTACTCTATGGCTACAGGTTAAAATCTGATCAAAAGTAGATATATATATATATAACATTGCAGTCCAATAGCCTTACCCACCAAAGTGGGATATAGGTACTAATGCCCCTTAATTCCAACCCTGAGTTGTGGAACCTTGGCTATCCGATTGGGGCTGGCCTGTACTGATGATTACTCATATTCTATTCCACCTTTGATATAGGAACTGAGTTCCAGGTGAAGAGCATACCTGTTCTGGATTTGGTGAGGTTTCCCCAAATCTTGTACCATCTTTATCTTGGTACACTTCTGTTCTATACAGATGCTTTATGCATGGTTCACATCTGCACTGACCCCCTCCACCTTCTTAATGTGGGATTCTAGCCATTGTGTTAGCAGAGGTAAGTATTTTTGGAAGTTAACATTTTCGTAAACTGAAAATGTATTTCCAATAATACTTAACTCCGCTGACACTCTCCTGCTCTACCTTCCCATTGAAAGGTGGTGGTTTATATCTCAAAAAAGTGATTACATTATCTGAATGAGGTGCTCATATACAGTAACTAGATAGAGGGTGCATTGAAGTTGGTGGAGAATTTTGCAAATTAGAATTGGCCAAGAGCACTTGAGTGGGGTATAAAAGACTGGAGCAAACATTTTCAATGTTTAGATGGGCAAAGAGTGGAAACCCTGAATATTGAGAAATAGCTATAGTGTCAGCAAAGGCAAGTATTATTGGAAATACATTTTCAGTTTAGAAAATTGTTAACTTAGGGAACTCAGGGCTGGCATGTACTTTTAAGGAAGCTAGTAATGAAGATATGCAATTTGTATGTAGCGATTGTAGGTTAGAGGAGATGTTGAGGGCTATCATAATTAAAGTAAAGGTAATAGATAAAGGGAAGTATAGACTGTGGGAAATAGCAGCAGGATTTCAAGAGGAGCTTAAGCTTTTACATGCAAGGAATACATCAGCTAACAATGACTTTCAGGAACTTAGCAACAGTACTCTTAGGGCTAAAAGTAGTAAATTTAAATGAAATGAGCCTATTCTGTTGAGCAACAAATTTCAACAGAAGGGTGAAATGATGATGTGGATGATAAGGAGGTTATAGTTCAGGTGATTTCTTGACAAAGCATGTGGATAGAATAGTCTGTGGGCTAAATAGGGAGAAAAGAATCAGATTATGCTACCCAGGAGCACAGATGGAGGATATAATTGACAGAGCAGAGAGCTAGTAGAGATGCAGTTTTTTGTGGTGCATGAAGGGGCTAATGAAGTAAGGAAAGGTAGGTCAGAGGAACTAATTAATTAGTTCAAGGGGTTGATAAAGGCATTTAAAGAAAAAGCCATAACTTAATTTTGTGAAAGATACTGCCTTGAATTAACTGTGGGGATAAAGTTATAAGTAGGTCACTAGGGCTAAATGCTAGGCATAGATTAGTATGTG